CGCCCAGGCGGAGCGCCTGGCCCGCCACGACCAGCAGCTGCGCGCCGCCTTGGACGAGCTGGGCCGCGCCAAGGACCGGTGAGGCTCGGGGCCGGCCAAGTTGACTTCTCGGAGGAAGTGGGCAGAGGTGGAGCCGAGATTGGAAAGGAGGACCGGCAGGGGAAACCGTGTGCATTCTCGTGGAGCTGTACTATTGGTGGGATTGAAAAAACAAACACAATACTTGAATTAGTCGTCAGTATGTGAAGTTGAGAGTTGTCACACAAACGTGGGTATCTAACTTAAACAGGGGCCATTTTGATCACTAGGCAAAATCAGCTGGTCCTGAGTGATGCAGGGACCCCACCAACCACCTGCTATTGGAGCCATGGCAGGTTCTTGAGGAGGGGAGGATGGGATCATATAAGCAGTTTTGAACAGTCCCTCTAGAAGGGTTAAAAGAGATGAGACAAGTACCTAGGGAGGAAGGAGGCGCTAAGGACTGGGTGGGAAGTAATTCAGAGCTTGTTGGATTCCTTACATCTTCACTGAGCACCTACTATGTGCCAGGCACTGTGCTCGGTATTAGGGCACATCTGTAAGACCTATGCAGCCCTGCCCTCAGGCAGACACACTGCTAGGCACTTACAGTCTGGGTGATCGGGGTTCTGATGGAGGGCCACACGACTCTGAGGGGGCCTGGCGAAGGCTTCCTGGAGGAACCGCTGTCTAAGGTGAACAACAGGAAAGGATGTAGTGGGGAAAGGGAACTGCAGGAAGAGCTAGAGGGATGGATGAGGGAGTGTGTTAGTCGGCTGAGGTTGTCGTTATATAATACCGTGGACTGGGGACTTAAACAGCAGCAAATTATTTCTCACAGTTTTGGAGGCTGGGAAGTCCAGGATCAAGATGCTGACGGACTCAGCTCTTGGGAAAGGTCCTCTTCCTGGCTTGCAGATGGTCATCTTCTGTGTCCTCACACGGCACAGAGAGAGCACGCTCTCTGGTGTCTCTTATAAGGAAATCCTCACGACCTCATCTAAACTTTACCTCTCAAGGCCCCATCTCCAAATACTATGACATCGAAGGGGTAGGGATTTAACACATCAATCTGGGAACGCGAGGACACAGACATTCGGTCCATGGCAAGGGGAGGGATGCTTTATCCTGACGGGGATGGAGGTTGGGGGCAGGGGGACAAGGACCTCTGGTTCTAACTGCCCCATCTTGCCTTCCTGCCAGTGAGATTGCGGCTCTCCAGGAGCAGCTGCTGACCTCCGAGGCTGCTGTCCAGAGCCTGCAGGCAGCTGTGCGCCAGAGGGACAAGCTCATTGGGCAGCTGCAGCCCCGGGCTGAGCTCCTGCAGGACATCTGCCGCCGCCGGCCACCCTTGGCTGGGCTGCTGGCCTCCCTGGCTGAGGCCGAGCGCCTGGGGCCTTTGCCGGCCAGTGACCCTGGCCACCCACTCCCTGGTGGGCCCAGCTCACCCCTTGCCAACAGTACTGGGGAGGAAGAGGACAGGGACCACCTCCAGCCTGTGGTGTTTGGGACCACTGTGTGAGTCCCAGAGCAGATTCCAGAATGGAGAAAGAGGGCCGTGATGGGGACTTTTTCCACTACCATGGGCATCCTTGGGTGTCACCAGTATCCCAGAGAGGACCTGGTGACAGAGCCATAATCCTGTCCAGGCACCAGAGCCTGCTATAGTCACAGGTTTCAAATGAGTGGCCTGCAGGCCAAATGTGGATGCTTAGCCCGGACAGAAGTTTTTTTTAAAAACCAAAACTTTGAATCAATCACTCTTGTTGAAAAACTGGCAGCGCTTAAGCAAAAATCTGGATTTCTGGCTTCAGACTGGACTGTGCCTGCCTGGATTGGAGTCCAGGGCACCCTCTTTAGCCAGAGTGTGAGTTTCTTGGCCCCCTTATCTCTTAGGGCCAGATGTCTGGCTGCTGAAGCATCTGTCTGCGACCTCTCTTTCTCCAGTGGAGGCAGATGGCATCAAGTTCCACATCATTTGAGGTTTTCTCCCCCACCCCCTGTTGCCTTGAGTCTTGTTCCTTCTGAAGCTCTCCCCATCCTAAATCTTTTTCTAGCTCTTCATCCCAGCCCAGAATTGGGACTCTCAAGCCTCAGGCCATTTTTCAGGTTGTATGAAGACAAACTTTAAATTCTAGGTATTTTTTCCCCTAATTCTGTCCTTCCCTTAGTCCAGGGAAGAGTGTGCACACAGGATACGTTGAGATGCTGGCTTTGCTGCCCAGGCAAACTTTGGGCATCCTGTAAAGCTTTCTCCGATAGCGTCCTGCCTCAGGGCCTTTACACAGGCTGTTCTCTCCTCCAAGAATGCTTGGCCCCAGATGTCACATGACTGGCTCCTGGTTACTCAGGTCTTTGCACAAATGTCACCTCTGAGGCCTTCCCTCAATCACCTTATCTGAAGTAATCCTTCCCCACTCCCCTCCCACTGCCCCATTTCCTTTATGTAGCTTCTTACCATCAGACTGTAAGCTCCATGAGGACAGAGACTTTGTTGTTTGTCACCAGCACCTGGCACACCCTGGGACCTCAGTGGGAACAGGATGGGTCTAGGGGCCCTGCAGGGAGCCAGGGGTCCTAGCACATCTGAGATCCTCCCCTACACACCCCAGCCAGTGCAGCTTTTGTAGCAGCAACTGGCTTATTTTTTACATTCCCTAGAGAATCTATTTTTTAACTCCTTATCTCTACTCTGCCCTTCTTGGCCTGAGACATTTGGGGCACTTTGCTTTTATCAAACCAGGGAACCCTGTGCCCTCTGCCCAGCCCAAGTGCCCAGCCTGGTACCAGGACAGCTGTCTCCTGGTCTCCTGAACTCAGGGAATTGTCCCACCAGGAACCGCTGTGGGGCACAGCCCCCTCAGAGCCCAGAGCGCAGCGTCCATCCCGGGCCCCAAGGAGGGCGCCGCCTGCTGTCTAACAGGGACCCCTCAGCATGGTTAACAATGGCCCAGATTTCTCCTCGGGATGAATAAGGATTGGGGCGTGTTGCAGTTTGTACGAGGGGAAGGCAGGCTGGGGCCTGTCTGAGCTCAAGAATAAACCAAATGATTTCCTGGCCTTGGTTGTTCCTTTCTTCCTGGTGCAGGGGCTGCAGGTGGTCCCTGTGCAGTTCCTGGTCCAGGTTGGGGCCCTGCTGGGTGGGAAGACATGAGTTACAGTCCCGGGAGGTTGTGCAAGGCACCCTACTTGCCAGCATACCGTGTATCTGGTCTCCTCAGCCACCCATGGACACAGGCACTGCCCCATTTTACAGCTGTGGAAAGTGAGGCCTGGAGAGGTAAAGTGAAAGGCCCCAGGGTTGGGAGGGCCCCAGCCACTTCCAGTTTTTTATTGTGGAAGTTCTGATTCTCTTAAAGATGCGGAGATGCCAAAACAGAGCTATCATTATTGTGGTTACATCTTTACAGTTTTCTATAGAAAAACAGTTTGACATTTGTAATCCTCATAAAAATAACACAATGGACTATTTCTTTGCCTACCCAAAGAATTTTGGACTGCAGCAAGCCACAAGAATTTCTGCAGTAGAAAGTCACTGCAGTTTCTCATAAAAACGATGGTGCTGCATCAGCTGTGGCTGGAATCACAGTGCCTGTCACACGTGAGCCACAGCTTGGATTCTGACTGCAGCAGCAATTTTTGACACCGCCATTGTGCCATGTCCAAGTCCAAAGTTTGAAAAGCCTCTGATGAGCTCTGGGTCTCTGGGTGGTGGGTCCCCCAACAGGGCCCACGTTTTAAGTCCTGGAAATCCAGCATCATTTGTGATCCTGCCTGTTGGTGGAGCGCTCTCAGTTGGCAAAGATGTCCAAAGTCCCCATCGCAGGCGCTCTGGGATGGCGGCCTTGGTTCCTCTCGGGTTATGTGTGTCGGGGGGTCAGGGCCGCTTCTCTGTCCAAGACCGCAGCCCCTGGCTCTGCTGCTTGTTACTCACCAAGTGACGTTCTGAGAACTAGAAACCAACCACCAAAACACTCATATTGACAAAAATACCAGGAATTACTCTGTCCAACTCAGCGCTGAGTCTGGAGGGCCCAGCTGTTTCAGCTCAGCCAGCACTGGTCTCAGCACCTCCTGCTGGACGTGGGCCTGGGCCACCTCAAGCCCTTTAAACTCGGATCCCTCAGCAGCTTTGGCTGCTGCCCTGTGAAGAGCAGGGAACTGGTGAAGCCCAGAGAGGGGAGGGGACCTGCCCCAGGTCACACAGGAATTGGGCCTTGCCTCCCTCCATCCAGGACAGTGGTTCCTACAGGGCTGTAGCCCAACCCTCCTCCCTGTGGCTAGGACATGACTGTCCTCCCCGCCCCCCCCCAACTCCTAGTCCGGGTCTGGCTCTATCCCAGGCCTGGGCACTGCAGGGCTGGGGGTGACTGAGCAGGACAGTAGGTGGGCAGAGGTAGCAGCAAGAGCAGTGCCCTGTCCCTCTTGGCCTGCCATACACCCCCAGAGGGCTGTGCCTAGGGCCAAGAGGCCCTGGCACAGAGAGTGTTACAGCTGGGGCCCCTCCCAGTCTCCAGGGCACTGTCCCTTAGCAACAGTCCTGCTGGGCAGGACGCACTGCCAGCGTTGGGCAGAGAGGCCATCTGGAGGACTCCAGGACAGACAAAGGCCAGGTGAGTGAGCAGGGGCAGCTGGCCAGGGTGGGCTGGCAGAACCGGCCCAGAGCCTGGCTGGCTGAACAGAAGGCCCCTGGATCTCTCTCCCACTCAGCTGCCCAGAGATCATGGATGCTGTGGACGCCACCATGGAGAAACTCCGGGCACAGTGTCTGTCCCGAGGGGCCTCGGGCATCCAGGGTCTGGCCAAGTGAGCTGTCCCCTCACACCTTCCTGACCCCCCAGGCCCACAGACTGCTTTCTAACTGTGCCCCCGCCCCCCAGGTTTTTCCGCCGCCTGGACCGGGATGGGAGCCGATCCCTGGATGCGGGGGAGCTCCAGCGGGGCCTGGTTGAGCTGGGGCTGGCGCTGGACACGGTGGAGGCGGAGGGTGTGTGCAGGCGCTGGGACCGTGATGGCAGCGGGACGCTGGACCTGGAGGAGTTCCTGCGGGCGCTGCGGGTGAGGCTGGGCTGCGTGATCACAGCCAAGTCCCTTCACCCTGCCACCCGGGGTGCCGAGCTCTTGTGGGCTTATCTGTGGCAGCGCTGAGCCTCTGGCAGCCGCCCGAGCTCTGCACCCCCGGTCACCACTTCCCCCTTCCCAGCCCCCCACGTCCCAGGCCCGGGAGGCAGTCATCACAGCTGCATTTGCCAAGCTGGACCGCAGCGGGGATGGCGTGGTGACGGTGGATGACCTGCGGGGGGTGTACAGCGGCCGCGCTCACCCCAAGGTGCGGAGTGGGCAGTGGACGGAGGAGGAGGTGCTCCGCCGCTTCTTGGACAACTTCGACTCCTCTGAGAAGGACGGGCAGGTGGGTGCCTGGAGGACCGCCCCTGCCCAAACCACAGGTCCCCTCTTACGGCCTGTCTGCCCCCAGGTCACGCTGGCCGAGTTCCAGGACTACTACAGCGGCGTGAGTGCCTCTGTGGACACGGATGAGGAGTTCGTGGCCATGATGACCAGTGCCTGGCGGCTGTGAGCAACATGCACTTCCTCAGCTCGCCCCACCATAGCATAGGACCCCCCCCCCACCAAAACCCCTGAGCCAGGGACCCTCTCACCTGGGGTTTGAGCTGAGCAGCCCCCGGCTGGGGGATGGAGGGGAGTGTGGGAGGCCGCAGAACTGGCTGGACTAGGTCTCCAAGGGCTGCTTGGCCACCAGGTGTTAATGGGATAAACGTCCCAATGATGGGTCACTGGCTCAGGACCCCAGGGAGGAAGGCCCTCGCTGCCCACGCTGTGCTGACCCCAGGCCTCACCAGGTGCCACAGGTGCCCCGCACCCCAGATGCCCTGCTCAGTGAACCCTGCCAGCATCCCCTCCCTGCCCCACCCCCATGGTTCCCCGGGAAGCCAGGCAGCACCTGGGTGGGGAAGCAAACGGCTCTTCTGTGAAGCGAGGCTCTGCACGGAGGTGGCCAGTCTTGGAAGGCAGCTGAGCTCGGTCACCTGCCCAGGTGTGGAGCGTGGGGCAAAGGCCGCAGCCCACAGGCAGGCCAAGCTGCTGGAGGAACTGCGCCCGGAGGAGCGGAGGCCGTTCTGGGCCAGGTCATCCGGCTTCCTGAGGCCCCTGGGGCACACAGGAGGCCAGCGTTTTAGTTAAAAGTTTTAATGTAGTTCCCAAATACATTGCATATGACAGTCTTACATAAACGTTCCAAAACACATGGGCGTCATCTGGTTTTACTTGTCACTAGTTGGCTAAGGCTTAAAGCAGAGACGTGTGACCGGATCTGCTGGGAGGCCCTTTGGTGTCTACCCCCGGCTCGGGCTCGGGCTGACCGGGGCCAACCCGGGGTGTCGGCGGCACAGCTGTGGAGACGGCCTTTTCCTGACCCTCTGAGGGCGAGGCTGGGCAGCTTCCTCTGCAAACCCTCAGAGCCCTGTGCACGGAGACCTCTGCAGGCCTCTCCAGGAGGGTGGTGCCCGGCTGGCTCTCAGCCACGCTCTGGGTAGGGGTGGGCAGAGGGCACCTGCTCCTGTGTGTGCTGTGAGCATGGGTTCTGCCTGTGGTCTGGAACCAGTCCCCCCGTCCCCTCCTCAAAGGCCCTGCTAGGGTCCCCCTCTGCCTGTCACAGAGGCCCCCAGCCCTGCATGGTCTTGGGCAGAGATGGCCACGGCTGTGAAGGAAGGAGCAGCCAACAGCAGGAGCAGGCTTGCACCTGGGTGCCCGACGATGGGCGACCCGTGCGGGGCGTGGCAGACAGGAGGACGGGGCTAGTGACCCTTTTCTCGATAGGCTCTCTCCAGGCCTGGGGCCCAACCCCTCAACACCCCACCACGTCGCCTGGAGGAACCCTGGTGGGGAACGAGTGGGGGCTGGCTCCTCGAGCAGCCCTCTGAGCACCCCCAGCGCAGGGCCGGGGCCGCAGGGTGAGGATGCAGCCCACGGCGGAGCTGTGCTGCTCACCACGCGGAACCGCCTTACTCTAGGAAGCCGGATATGAAGCCTGGGGGGGGAGGAAAGGAGCTACAAGTACAACCCCCAGTCGGAACGCAGGAGATGGGAGGTCAAGGTAGCAGTTAGCAGGACGTCCAGCAGGCCCAGTGTTTACACTCGTGTGGACAGACCCGGTGGCCTGGGCAGGCGGCGGGGAGAGGCCGGCGGCACGGGGAGGCGGGGAGAAGAACACGGTGTCCCAGTCCCAGTGAGAAGCCGTGACAAGTCTTAATGTGCCATTTCAATTCAAAGGGGAAGGGAAGAAATGTTCTTTTTCGCTTTGCTCATCAATATGATGAGGTCTCGTGTCCCAAACCACATTCAGGCAGTTCCCGAGTCTGCTTCTGAACGGGACGTGCGGATCCAGACTGTGGCCAACCCAGCGGGGAGTGTGGTTCCCGAGCCCCGCACCTCGACGCTGCCGGCGGGAGGGGCGGGCGGGCGGGCGGACAGACGGACAAAGCAGCAGGCTCGCGGGCAGCCGGCTCCCGGCGCTATGTGCTCCCGGCTGTCTGCCCGTCCCCTTCGTCGCCAGTGCCTGTGGGAAGCAGTGGCCTCACCATCAGGTCCCGCCCTGGACAAAGCCCCATTCGCTGGGGCCAGGCCCCCCACGCCCAGAGGTCAGTCCTGGGACCGCCCGGCTCACCGCCTCCGGTGGCCCCCGATGGGGCCAGGACGTCGTCGTCATCACTGTCATCCTCGTTGGACGGGGCTGCTCCTGGCTCTGGGGCGGGTGTCTTGGCCTCCTGCTCCTGCTCCACGCGGCTGCGCAGGGCCAGGATGCGGTGGTGCAGGGCCGCGTACAGTTGGCCTGTGTCCTTGGAGCTGGCCTGGGGGAGGCGGAGGCAAGTGCCAGGTTATGAGGCCGTGTGGGGAGACCCCCTTCCGGTCAATGTGGTCAGTATGGCCGCCTCCCCCACCATACTGGGACGCCACAACCCCCAGGCTGGGACTGGGAAGCAGCCTGACCTCTCCTCGCCAAACCTGGGGACCACCAACCGAAGCTCCCTCAGCCCCTGGGCCTGTCTTCCTAAGGGGTTCACAGAGCCTGCGGCTGCACCAGCCCTCAGTGAGCCAGCCCGATCCACTCATTTTGGGGACTGGCCTGCCTAGACGCCCCTCCTCTCCCTGGCCACACCACAGCGCAGGCTGCAGGGTGCTGTGCCATGGAGCTCCCCTGCAGAGGGCCACCCCTCAGTCCTGCCTGGTGGAGCCTCCCTTCTGAAGGGGTTCAAGGGCGCACCACCCTTGTCTGGGGGGCTGTGTGGGCAGCTCCCTTGCATGAGAGGCTGGCAGCAGCGCAGCCTGAGCCGGGGCTGCTCACCGAGATCAGGAAGACCTTCACGCCCTGGTCCTCGGTGTCCATGGCTGTGATGCGGATGCTCTTCTCACTGGCCTTGTCTATCTGCATCTGGGCCCACAGCTTGGTGTTGAGGATCAGCCGCAGGCTGCCCTGGGTCCGCATCACTGCAACCGACAAGGCTGTTCAGCCCTGGTCCCCCAGCCACTGCCCACAGCCAGCTATGAGGACACACAGGGTCTGGAAGGGAATCCAGCACCCCAGGGCGAACTACCACGATTCTCCCAAGGTCCATGAAAGCCTCCCACCTGTCTGCTGGACAACAGCCTTGGCACCACCCGCTCCCTGGCCCAGATCCAGAGGCCACACCCAGTGCATGGAGCAGGTCGGGGCAGCTTCCCTGGGGAGGTGGAGAGCAGGAGGCAGCGGGAGGTGCGCTGCATAAAGAGGTGGGACAGCGTGGGCTGCACACGGTGGGCACGTCATGAGGCTGATGCCCTCTGACTGTCCCCCACCTGCAGGCCAATGCCCAGTCCCTGCCCTATGTTGTTTCCTTCAGGAGAAAGGTCGAGGCCAGCTGCTGTTCAGAGCTCCCATCAGGAGGGAGAAGACAGACTGAGAGCAGCACATGGTGGAGAAAAACGGGGGCAGACCTTTCCTCTCTGGAAATGCATGGGAGACCCCAAGTTCTACCCACAGCAGGCCCAAGGCCAATGTCACCCTGGCCGTGCCCTAACCCCTGCCAACCGCATGGACACAAGTGACCCCACGACTTCCTGCCAGCCCAGCTCTCCCCACTGGAACAAACCTGGAGAGGGTTAGCAGTTGTCACCCCAAGCCGGGGCTCCAACTGACCGGATCTCCTCCCACTCACCCCCGAGCCCTCTAAGCCCGGCCCCCAAGCTCAGTCTGCCCCCTGGGGTGGGGCTCAGACGGAAGGCTGTGTTGGGGGGAAAGGAAAGCGCGGCTGGGATGGTCTCAACCAGGGAAGGGACACGGCCACAGCAAGACTGGTCACTGGCTGATGACTGAGGAGGGGAGCCGAGAGCTGGGGCTCAAGACACTGCTCTCCGTCCATGTGGGCATCAACAGTCTCGCAAGAAAAAGTGAAAAAGAAATCGAGAGACGTCTACAGGGGGAAAAGGAACGGAGCCCAAACAGAAGGGCCATTGTCATTTCTGTTCCAATCTTGGGATGATTCTGAGCCCAAGTGCATAAAAACGTTACTGAAAGGATGCAGTGGGACCTAGGCCTGGGCCAGGAACTGCTCTGTAAAGGCCAGCGGGCAACTTTAACTTGAGAGGATAAAAAAACCAAAAACACCAGAAACACACACATACATCTCACACATCTACACTTGATTTTCTTTAAATGTGTGTGTCTATGAACACCCTCCCCGACACATGCACCCCTGTAACAAGCACACTGCTGGGTATACGGTTCACATACAGGAGGCCCCAGGACCACTGTTCACAAGACCAAAAAATTAGGAATGATCCAAATGTCCATTGATAGGGGAATGGTTAAGTACATTCACTGTCAATAGAGTATTAATGGAGAAGTTTTTCAAAAACAGCCACGTTTTAAGGAAAATTGAATGACAGAGGAATATACTCACAAAATAGCAAGTGAAAGGGCAAGAGAAAAATTCACCCCCACTTTCTTAAAAAAGATTCACAGGACAAGAAGGGACTGCCAGAAAATACTTAGAGATTCAGAGATTTTAGTGGATATCTGACTTCCTCCTTTTCCTTTCTACTGCAAAACAACTGGCACATTTACTATCAAAGACTAAGTTAAAAAGCCATGAAACCCTTTTATCCACTTGCACACTGGGCAGGAGGAGAATCACAGGGGCCCGCAGTGCCCCGGGCCCCCCGCGGGAGCCGGCCGCAGCTCACCCAGTCGGGACTGTAACGTGCCGTCCTCAGTCGAGGCCATGTCGTTGAGCCTGAGCAGCCCCCGGCCTCGCTCCACCCACGACTGCGAGGTCTTGTCAAAGACAAACAGCTTACACTGGATCTGGAACACAAGGCGGGCCTCTGGATGAGCAGGGGTCCTGGCTGGGCAGACGGACCCTGGGAACCTGCACAAACTACCAGGGTCAACAAACTACGGTCTGGGGGACACACCCGGCCCTTGGCCAGTTTTCATCCTGCCCTCAAGCTAGAATGGATTTTACATCTTTAGAGAAGAATTAAAAAAAAAAAAGAAAGAATCCTGAAGGAAATGCAAGTCAGAACCACAAAGAGATACCACATCATACCCACTAGATGGCTATAACCAGACAACAGACGGTAACAGGGACTGAGGAGGGCGTGGAGAAATCGGAACCCTCAACCTCGCTGACAGGAATGTGAAGTGGTGCAGCCACTGTGGAAAACAGTTCTTCAAAATGTTAAAATGGAGTTACCACACGGTCCAGAAATTCCACTCGTAAATATCTACCCAAGAGGAACGGAACCCGTTCCACACGGACACTTGCAGGTCAAAGTCCACAGCAGCACTGTTCTCAACACCCTCAAGGTGGAGGCAAACCCAGTGCCCCCTGACAGGTGAACGGATCAGCAAACGTGGTTCATCACCACAGCCATGCAAAGGGGTGGAACACTGACACACGTTACAACGTGGATGAACCTCGAAAACATGACGCTCAGTGAGAGAAGCCAGAGATAAAAGGCCACGTAGCGCACGATTCCTTCCACGCATAAGAAATGTCACAGCAGGGCACATCCATAGGGACGGAAAGTGGGTGAGGGGCTGCCGGGGGCTGGGGAGGGGCTGTTAACGGGCACAAGGTTTCTTTTTGGGGGACTAAAAAGTTCTACCTTAGTGGTGACGTTTGTACAACTTGTGAATATACTAAAAACCACTGAGCTGTATGCTTTAAAGGTGAATTTCATAGCATGCACTTTTTATCTCGCTGAAACTGTTAAACATGAGAAAAAAAAAGCAACAGAGACCATACGTGGCCCTTCACAGAAAAAGTCTGCAGATCTTTAAAAGTCACTATCTCTCAACGTGGATGGATTAAGAAACGCCTGTGAGCGATGTAAAGAAATACCACTAAAACCGCCTTGTTAACAGCTCCCTGATGCTGTATACACGTGGTGTACAGATACACCCAGGCACGTGCGAGAGGAGGAGGAGCAGAAGGAGGCTGGGCACACTGGCCGCGCTGCCCTGGGAGAGGAAGGCGGGTGGGCAAGCCTGCAGGATGGCTGGGCCACGGTGATATTTCCCCCTAACGACCGAGCACAGTACCCACCCTCGCTGTGACAAGAGCAGCACAGCTGCTGGTTCTGGGCGGTAAGAGCAGGCGTTACCACAGCCCGTAATTCCCTGAACTATTGAGAATGTCTCGAAGAGAGCCTTTTGCTCCAATACAAAGAGACACAAGAAGCAGGGTAGCACCTGCTAAGCTCTCAGCAGAACTGTGGGGAGGTGGCCGAGACGCCCCCTGATCCGCCTCACCTGCAGCACGTTGCTCTCCGCCTCCTCCCCGGTGATGACTTCCACCTTCTCCAACAAACACTTCCGCGCCGTCGCCTTGGTGTAGGCCGCAGCTGACTCGGCCAGGGACTCTGCAATGTTATTAGCTAAACGACATTGACTATTTATTTGGTGGGGGGTAGGATGCACCTCAGAGGACACCAAAAGGGGTGGGTCCGGCCTCAAGGGTGCCAGTGACCCCTGGCCGCCACACCTGGGTCGGAGTGGACCTCGGACATGCCATGTAACCCTGCCTCGGAAGCTGCAGGGAGACCACCTGGGAGCAGCCAACGTGTCTCCAGATTTCCCATTTCCCACTTGGGACAGACAGTCAGAAAGACTTCTGAGAGGGCTGTGAGAGAAGCTCCCCTCCACTGCCTCAGGGCGTGAGGAACAGGTTGACAATTACCTCAACCCTTCCCCGGGTCCCCGGGCAGCAGCACAGGCCTCACTGGTCTAAGATAAACGAGTCCCCTCCCCACTCCTGGAAAGCCAGCATGGCTGGAGGATGTCTGGTTCACGTGTGGTTGCTGCTGCTGCCGCCAGGTGGTCCCGTCCCTCCGTCCCTCCAGCGCAGGGTGGGGATGGACAGCCTCATCACTCTGTGCCCCTCCCGTCACTTTGTGCCCCTCCCGGAAGCCAGAGGACGCAGACATACCTTTCTCGGGGGTGGCCTCCTGGGATGAGGACTCGGACCCAGACTCGGCAGCTGTGTTTTCTCTGTTGGCATCTGAACTGACCTCATTTAGTTTGGGTGGGCTCTGTGGGGAGGGGAGGCACATGGGAGGAGGGCGTGTGTGGGTGGTGCCGGTGGTCAGGTGGCTGCGGAACAGGAAGCCCCTCCTGGCATGGCCCTGTCCGGGTAAAGAACTTTCTGCTGACAACAGCTTTTCCTTCCTAGCTTCCGGGACCTGCCGAGCCCTAGCTCCACGCCCACTCAACGCTCCTCAAGTATTATAAGACAGCCCCTGCTCAACACCTTCACAAAACAAGCAGCTCTCAGTCCTCACAGATCGCCCTGGATGCCATACATGCACTGCCCCTGGAGCCCCACGTGGGGCCTCTACGGCATCACTGGGAGGTGTGTGCCACCAGCTGACCTCAGACTGCCCAGTAATCTTGGCCTGTGAGGCAGGTCTTTGACTAATTCATCAAAATTGAAAAAGGACAGTGCTGACCCTTGAGAGAAGTAGGGGGCTCCTGAGTGCAACACACGGAGACCAAGATGGCAAGAATTAGGTGGGCCCCAAACAGCACCTTAGCCACACTTACCATGGACCCAGCCGGGCCATGTATGATTGGGGAAGAAAAGGAACACAAATAAGGGAGCGGGTCAGCAACCCTAGAAGCCTGCCCTGGGCTGGCTGGGCCCCCTGGGACCAGGAGACGGCCCGAGGCCACCCACATGCCTTGGCTGTGGTGTGTCAGGAGTGCAGGGGACACTGCAGGGGTCCCTGCAAGACCCCCAGCCCCCATTCTGGCTGCAGCCTTGTGGTCGGGGTGGGGCTGCCCCCCTTGATTCCAGAGGTGGCTCAGGGTGGTCCCAGTGGCACATGGCTAAGGACTTCGGCCTGATGGCTGTCCCCACCACCGCTCTTAGCCAGGAGGAAGCGTGTCAGCATAAGGAAAGACAGGAAGCGTGACCCTGGCTCCTGGAGGGCCTCCCTGGGCTGCCAGTGCCCACAGCCCTGCCCTGGTTTGAGCTGCTTCTGTGCTGGGTCTTCTTTCTCTTACTTTATTTGCAAGACAAAGGGTTCTACTTTCACAGGAGCCGATGCAGCAGCCACACCCCACACGTGCCCTAGACCCAGGGGAGGCTCTGAAAGCCTCCCGGCCCCGAGGAGCACCAGTCCCCAGTGGGGCACTCACCAGCACACGCTCGCTCATGTTCTGGCCAAACACGAACTTGCTGCTGGCAGCGTCGGCGCTGTTGGCTGAGTTCTCTAAACTGAAGAGAAGATGTGCTATGAGTGTGTGGTGTCACACAGGACAGCGCCAGGCAGGTGTGCCGCCTGCACGTGCCATGGGCGCACGGTCTGAGTAAGTGAGACCCAGACACCTGGTGTGGAGAGCACAGTCAAGGCCCCATGTGGCCTTGCAGGATGGGCTTGGCTTGCCAGGGACAGGTGCCTGCCCCAACACCTCCCCTGCCAGGCTGCACCGCGCAGCAAACACAGACCCTCAGCTTCCACCGCCCAACACACCGGACACCCGCCTTCCCCTCACCCTCGGCCTGCAGGTAGGGGGCACCACCTCAGAGGCCGAGTGCGGGGTACTCCACCCATGTCCAGGAGGGAAACCCGCTGGGCAGCAGGCTGGGGCGGTGAGTCTCTGCTGCTCTCTGGCCCCCTCCCCTGGCCCACACCAAGGAGGCGACACCTCCCACCAGGCTGTGGGGGGGCCACACAGGACAACCTGGGTGAGCTCTAGGCCAGCGGTGGCTGCTGGGGCTGTCACACTTCATCCAGTTTAAGGTATCACAGGCTGCACGTGCCTCCCGATTTGGGAAACGCTGAAGTGCAAAACATGCATCTTAAAATATCTGATGCACTCTGCAGACTGGGGTCCAGGCAGCCAAGCAGCAAGGTCACTGCTCATGCCAGGCCTCCTGGAGCTGAAGCCCATGTCCTACTGCTCTGTGTGGGTGACAACAGGCTGCCGAGCTACCACCAGCCCGCTGGGTCCCATTCTGGGCACGAGGTCTGGGTGACAGGGCTCACTCTGAGGGCTAGACTGGACAACCCCATAGAACTGGGGTGTGGCCTCAGGTGCCTGAAGCCCCCCATCCTGGCCCCTCAGCATCTGCACCCAGAGGGGAGGCGGAGGGGCTGGAGGGGGACTGGGCTTCTTCTCTGAGGAAGGCCCAGGATGGCTCCTGGCCAGGGGCTGCCTCCTCCCTGGGCCCTGAGTCGGGGACAGTGGGTGGCTATGGACCCCTCTGAGGCCAAGGCTCTCCCCACGCAAGGCTGGCACCAGGCCCGAGGTACACACCTGGAGCTGATATACTGAAGGAAGTAGTTGGTCGCGGCTGGTGTTTCTGAACTGGGGTGTCCAGCGTTCTCCATGTCCGCTACTTCAGTGTTCTCGTTTATTAACTGTGAAGCAGAGACGAAATGCTCAGTGCTCGGAGGACGGCAGGTCCTGGAGCTCTAGCACTCAGCCTGTCTGCACAACCCTTATGCTGCACCGCAGGGCTCTGTCCACGTGCGTACCCTGGGGTGCGGGAGTCCACAAGGCACTAGGGAGCGTTTTCCATCTTATCTAAAAAAAAACACCCTCAGGCTGGCATCTGGTTGGCATTTTCATCAATGCTCCTGTGCCGAGAGATCACAGGTGGCTCACGAATCTCATATTCTAAGGGATTTATTACAAACGCACTAGGAGCAGCGTTTCCTGAGGGCGTCCTTCATGCTGCTGAGCCAGCTCTGTCATGTGCTAGCTGATGTGATTCTCCGGTGAACACTGAGGGGGGATCAGATCCTTATTCTTAAACAGGCAGGAGAGGCTCAGAGGGGTTAAGAAACCACGGCCGCAAGCTGCCCTCCATGGAGAAGCTGGGATGCGATCGTCTCCAGACCCCCATGAGACATGGCCCCCGCCCCAATCTCAAGGCAGCGAGGAAGACTCAGCCTGATGGCCCAGGCCAGGCCCCCACCTCCTGCTTCCTCCTCCCGGGAGGCAGCAGCCCCCAAAGGACTCATCATTTTGCTAAAGCTGTGCAGTATCAACGCCTGTTTTGTGCCTCTCAGGGAATCTGTGCTTCTGTCGGACAGTGAGCACCAAAGGATGAAGCATGCGGCATGGCTGGATGCTTTCTCTGCACAGGAAGGCTTTTGTTTCCTTGTTTCAGGCGTTCTCACCCTCTGTGTCACTGTCCCCAGGCCTGGATCATTACCTGGGGGGCCATCCTGGGCACCATGGGGTGTTGCTCAGCATCCCTGGCCTCCTCCGTATCAGTGGCACCTACCCCTCTCCTTGTTGTGATAACCACGAATGTCCCCAGACACCACCACTGACACTGCCCCTCAAGTTTCCAGAGGAGCTTCTTGCCAGATGAGCTACTGGAAATAGCATAGAAAGACCTTCCGGCCCCATGGCTGGGAAAGGTCTTCCCAGAGGGTCAGGGCGTGGGGTCCAGATCCCAGGTCCCTGCCACTGCCAGATGCTCCCCGCCCCCGACTCAAATCCAGACTAGACCAACACACCTGGGGGCAGCCAGGACGTGACAGATCCTGATGCCTCCTCTCGGAGAGAAAACAGTATCTTTCCACCTGCCCTACTTGAAAAAGAGAAGGTGACGGCTCTCAGCTGGGGGTGATTTAGTCCCACGGGGAACATTTGGCACCATTCGGGGACGTTTACAGTTGTCACAACTGGGGACAGGGAGAGCTGTGCTCCTGGCATCGGGGGGAGGTGGGGGGTGGTGGCTGCTGCTCAACACCCTACAGTGCTCAGGACAGGCCTCCAGCAACTAAGGACCCAGCCTACACCTTGCTAGTGCTGAGACACAGAAACCCTTCAGTAAGGAAATAAAAATCTCTCCAGTGATGTCGAAAGCATGGGATCCTTTGCTACAAAAACATCAGTCCTCAGGGCCAAGTTGCCCCACCCTCGGCCTGGCTCCTGGGAGAACGAGGGAGCCTGCCGCCAGGAGCCACTGCCGAGCCCCAGGCATGGGGCGGGGCGGGGCAGGCGGCTGGGCTGTGTGCCAGGAGCCGGCCAGGGCATGGAAGGGATGCAAAGCAAGCAGCTGCTGGCTGCTGAGTCATCGGACCACCCCAGAAATGGTGCCCCCCCCCAAAATCCTGGGGAGGCGAGAAAAGATCAATTCACTAGGTCAACAGCTTGACCAGTCCCTGGTCATGTACCTTAACTCTGTCCCGCAGGTTCTGCCCAAACACAAACGCCTGCTGTGCGGCCTGCTCTCTCTTCCCACAGTCCTCCTCCTCAGAAGTACTGTTAGATGCGTTCTTCTGGGGCTCCTTCTCCTGGTGAGAACAAGCAAACACGACAGCTGAGAAGACGGGACAGAGCAGCCTGATGAGCAAGATGAGCCACCTCACACGACTGCATCTGCCCAGCGCGTCTCCACCGCACCGCCCTGGGCAGAGGGACCAGCAGGACCCCTGGGACCGGCTGGGCCAGCCCTCTCCAGGGAGGGGAGAGCACTCGGTGGCCGGGACGCTTGTCACCGGGGACACCGGTGGAGGTCAGGGCACGTGGTCTCCCTCCAGCTCAGAGCTGCACGGCTGACTTCCTGCCCTGGAGACCCCAGCCACCGCTTTCCGAGAAGCAGGATGTTGAGGAAATGACTCTCTTTCCAATTCCAGTAACTGTGATTTGAGGGTGGGGGGCTCAGGGACATTTGAAAACTGGACTGTAGACCATCGATTTCACCATCTGGGCATGAATATCTAAGTGGGGGTGTGGGGGGCACGGGACCTCAGGCAGCAGCTTATCTGCTGAGAGGGGCGGGGCGGGAATAAACACACAGGTGCAACCTGGCTCTGCGTACGGAGGCCCTGCTGCGAGACTGCTACTTGGGTTTCAAGTCTGTCTCTGCTGACTGCAAACGTAGGCTCTTCGTTAAATGCCCCTTATTTTCCAGCTGCTACGCAACGCTACAAGAAAACATATGCTTCTGGCCTATATAATCCCAGGGCCCCAAAGGACTTTTTTTTTTTTTTAAAACAAGCAATTTCTGAGCTGACTCCCAGGCACAGTCCTTCTACTAGAAGTAGCACACGTATGCGAATCCCTGAGCTGCTCAGCTGCAGAAGAGGGAGGGGAGACGCCCATCCAGGGAGAGCAGGCCGAGGCCCTGTCAAAGCCCTGCGTGCGTGGGAGCGACTCGAGCCCTGGGCAATCCGGCCCTCCATGCAGAGCCCTTCTCATGGCCCCTTTCTCTCAGAGCCATAGAGTTCCTGGCAGTCTGGCTACTTGGCCAGTCAGCTGCAGGGACACAGGGACACCTCTGAGCAAATTCAGATGCCTCAGCACAGGCCGGCTCGGGCACTGCTCAGGGCAGCCAGCAGTCCATGCACTCGGTGAAACCCTCCCCGCCCCGTCGCCGACGGACCTCAAGTGCTGGTGCCTCGTCAGAGGGACTTCTCCGGGCAGGGTTGTCTGGCGAGGCGGATGCTGCGGCTCCTGGGCAGTCTGCTGGGATGCTGACCCCATTGGTGCCGCTGCTCGGGACTGAGGGCAGAAGGACAGCCGGGTCTCAGGGGCTAGTGCAGTAACCCCTCAGTGCTCCCTCCGAACCCTGGGCCCGTAGTGTAAAGTCTCCTTTTTTAAGGAAAGGATCTGGTATCACTACTGAAAGTCACAAATTCTTAGGTTAAAAAAAAAAAACCCAAACTAAAACTGAAACCTCAGAAAAGTGAGAATACCTTAATGCTTATTCCACAAAGAACCATGTGAATTTTCAGTGTATTCACAAACAATAGCATTAAAGGAAAAAAAAAGAAGAAGAAAATATATTTGGGGAACAATTACGGGTTTTATAAAACCGGATTTACTGACAGAGTCTTTATTCTATGCACTTTCCCTTTTTTTAAACAGTTGAGATTATACAACACGCACAACTTTAAATCTGGCTTTGACTGTTCAAGCATTGGACCAAAAAATCTCCCAGGTAATTAAATGCTCCACAAATGTTCAGTTTCTCCCAGGTGGGATGCCGCACCGTTTCCGATCAAGGTTTTGAATAGCAGGGGAAGATTAAGAGAAAGAACAGTTTGTCAACAGCGAGGAAATCACGGAAGAACTGAACCCACTCCCTGTGCAAATGTAAGAGACGGGCGGTGCAGGAGGTGTGTCTAACGCTGTCAAGTAAGACGGCAAAGTGCATCTGATCAAATCACTCTTCCAGGCTCTTAGACACACAGAGCTCAGTTTTGCCTGCGAACACGTAGGGACAAACCCGCCCTGCTCCGGGGGGGCCAGCCTTCATGATGCCAGCGGGCGCAAGAAGCACGTCCTCCCAGCAGCCGTGGCCTCAGCGCTGCAGGGAGATGGGAAACGCCTGTCCCCCTGGCTCATCAGGGATTTGAGGATCGTTTCCCCAGCGCTCTCCTCCCCCAGAGCGTTCGGCAGAGAGGGCCAAAGCCACCATGTGGAGACCCAGCCGTCCCAGGGAGACGCTCCCGGGCCGTGTGAGCCCAGGCGCCAGGCCCGGCTTACTCACCCGGCTGAGAGAGCGCCCTTGGCTGAGGGGCCTGGAGCACCGCCGGGCGGAGCACGCTCCGCTGCTGCTCCTTCGGCTTCTGGCTCGGCAGACCTGGGAACAGAGATCGGCATGCCCGGGCCCTCAGACCACATGGCAGAAAGGCCACCCGTACCCTCGCTGGCTCTCGGGTGCTTTACAGAAAAATCAGCCTCAGGAACCCATCTGTTGTCCCTCCTGGGCTGGACTTTCCAGGGAAGCACATTAAAAACTAAAACAAAACCCAAGATATTTCCCTTTCAGACCAACTCTGGCTGTTGCTATTTTTACCTGTGATTAAATGAATCCCCATGACGCTGATCCTGCCTGCAAACGCACCCAGTAGGAACAGTAACCCTACAGAGGGAGCCAAGGGATAGTCGTTCTCAAGTGTGGGGCTCAGGGTCACGTGCAGACAGCGGGGGAAACAGTGATGCCACAGCTGACCCAGAGTTTAGGACTCTGCTCGCGGTCGCAGGTCGCAAGGTACCCTTTGCACCTGCTTCTCCAAATGCCACTCTGAGAAAATCCCTCTGCCAAACATACAGGACAAGGCCACAAGAAGGCTCCCGGCCCTGCACGGGCTTCCCCGCTGGACCTGCTGCGCTCGGACAGCACCATCGCTGGGCCCTGCTCACCAGCAGCCACTAAACTGTGCACACGCTGCTGGCTGGGGTGAACGGTGTGGCGTGCTGTGGCCAGAACGCTTTGCAGAGGCAGTCTGAACCAACTGAGCTCTGGCCAGGCACAGAGCCCAAATGTCCCACACCAAGCTGAGCCTGCCCCCTGCCACTGTCTCCGCAGGGGGCGGGCTCCCAGGTAGGAGAACCTTCTGGGTCTGACAGGCTGTTTGACGAGGCTGTCTGGTGCTCACATGTCATCAGGTATGTGAGACGACCCAGAGAGAGGCAGAGCCCAGAGCACAGGCAAGTTGAGGCTGCCAGGCCCTGGAAGGGGGCGAGAAGGCCACTCCACGCTCCTCTTCAAAGGCGGACACCTACCTGCACTGGGTGCCTGGCCATGGATGAGTGTGGGCGGCTTCAACCGGAATCCACTGCTCTTTTCCTCTACAAGCACAACACAGAAGATAAAAGCATGCCTGCCTAGGCCGGGGAAGCAGAACTGGGAGAGGTCAGGGGCAGGAGAGGACTGTGGTCTGGGCCTCAAGGGAGAACCAGGAGAAATATCTCCAAGTCAAAACAGCAATGTCGAAGCCCCCTCTGATTCCCTAGTCTGTAAGGCAGCCTGGGGCAGGGGGTGGGGAGAGGAGGAGGGCCGCAGGCAGGGCCGGTCAACCCACGGGCCACCTCCCCAGCTGCCTGCCAGGGGCTGAGGGGCTAGGAAGCTGTACTGCACTCGAGGGCCCTGAGGGACGCCAGGGAGCCACAGAGTAAAGGTCCCTGGGGCCTGAATCCCTTTGCAGGAGGACATGTCTTGCCAGAGGACATGTCTGTCATTAGGAAAAGCCTCTGTGCTACCAGCAGATGTTGGGGAAATGAGACACGCTTTCTGCGGCGAAAGAGCAGATGTGGCAGCCGGTCAGCTCGCTCTCTCCAGATGTGCCGGAGCGAGCGCTTCACCGCGCGCTCATGAGAGCACAGGGAGGCCCGGGAGCAGGAGGCGGGGTCGCCCGCAGGCCTGTGTCTGGGCTGACACCCATGCAGGGCTGACAAATACAGGGGCTCCTGGGGTGGCTCAGTCTGGCTGCAGCTCAGCCACGGTGTGCAGACCCCTCACTCTCTACATCTTGGTGACTCTGCCCTCCTCAGAATTGGGCAGCAGGCGGGGCTGGGGGTCAGTCTAACGCAATCCAGGACCAGAAGGATCAGCATAAAAAGCTTTGTGGCTCTAACAGCACAGTCTGCCTCAGGAAAAGCACAGGGACAGCAGCATTTTGCTCCACCAGAGCAGCCGCGATTTTGTGTTAAGGTCTAACTCATGGGAAAAAACCCTCGTCAGGGCTCAGGGAACAAGATCAATACAGAGAAACCAGTTGTGTCTTTCTACATACTAGCAATGAACAATCCAAAAGTGAAGCTAAGAAAACAATTCTGGCAGGGAGGATGTAGCTCAGGTGGTAGAGCGCATGCTTAGCAAGTATGCTAATAAGGTCCTGGGTTCAATCCCTAGCACCTCCTCTAAAAGTAAGTAAATAAACAAACCTAATCCCCACCCCAAAACAGGAAAACAATTCCATTTATAAAAGAAAAAAATACTTAGGAATAAATTTAACAAATAAAAACTACAGAACACTGGTAGAAGTACAGATTTAAATAAATGGGAAGATACCCCAAAAGGTCACATGGTACATGGTTCCACTGACATGAAACGTCCAGAACAGGCAAATCCACAGAGACAGAACTGCATTCATGGCTGCCAGGGGTGGGGAAAGACGAAACGGGGAGGGACTGCTCAGGGCACAGGGTCTCTATTTGGAGTGACGACAATGTTCTAAGGTTAATTCCGGTGATGGTTGCACACCTGCGGATATACTAGAAACCCTTCAACTGTACACAGAAGCATACCACAGACACACCTTGTTAGCCCAAACTTTCAGGTATGAAACAAAATCAAATCTGGGTTCCCAATCAAACAAGAGGCCCCCTTCCTGCTGTCTGCATGTACGTGAGCCAAACTGCTCTCCTTGGGCAAAAACAGGGTCATAACAACTCTAACTGCTAGCTTGTTAGTACAGAGGAGCTGAGCCTGAAGGGCTTCCAGGGGCCTGCGCTGGTGGGGTTGGTGTCTCTCCTGTAAGAGAGGGGTCATAAAAACCACACTGAGGAGAGTCAGACAGCCCAGGATACGTGGGAAGACGGGCTGCCAGATGTTCCTTTGGGGAAAGGAAATGCTGAATTATATTTCCAAAGCTCAGGATTACTCAGAAGATGATCGGCAATTTAGAAACATAAAAAAAAGAGATGAAATTCATAATTTAGGTAAGTTTTAAAAAAAAGTCCTTAGAGCCGGCTTTGCAGTGTTCACACTGAGGCTACAGACTGATCTCCACCACTCTGCTCTGATCCATTTGACCCTTGGGATTGACCCAGGCTGACCAGCAGGGGAGACAGGCCCAGACAGTCCCTGCCACTGACCATCAGTCCCGGGCATGGTGCCTGGCCCACCCCACCCCGCAGATGCACAGGAAATCCATGCTGAATGCTGCAGTAAATCGACACACAGACAGACAAGGCGTGCCACACTTCTGATGGCAACCGGGGCCCTGGGACAGAAGGGGCCCAGAGCAGCAGGGAGGTGTGCTTTTGGGGCAGCCGGAGGCCCCCGTCGCAGGCCCCATCTCCACTAAAACAAATGCAGTCTCTTCTCACAGCCTCCGGAAGCTCACTTTCCCTGCAACACAGTCAGGGTGCAACGAAGAGGCACTGTCTGGTGGCCAGAGCACCACCATGCACGCCATGGTCACAGCGGTGCAGAGGCCACTGTACTGGGGTCTTCTCAAGGGCACATGTGTGCCCGCCCCATGAACTTGCTGGAGGAGGAAGACACTCCCTCTGGGGCAACCCCTGCCCTCCTCCAAATCATGCCTGAAGCAAGCAGGCTTCTTTCTGAGGGCGCATTTTGCCTGACCTCAGAGACCCCCAAATGACGTCTGAGGCAGGCAATGCTCACCCTTGAGGGAATCCTGGATTAAACCAGGAGGACAGATCAGAATTTAACCTGATGTGTCCCAGAGGTTAAAAAGAATCCAAGAGAAGGCTGTCTGGTGGGGACTGGAGCAAAGAGTAAATGCATTGAGGACAAAGGGAGCCAGGTTTCTTACTGTCAGAAAAGAGAGTTAGAAATATAAAGGGGGGAGCCAAAATGAACCCTGTTGGCACAGAACTGGAAGCATCTATGTGAACCTGGGGTTCCCTACACATGCAGATAGAGAGAGAGAGACAGAGTCAAACCAACTGTCAAAGTTCTAACAACTCGCCTCTTCCCTTGATGGCGCCCTCAAGCCCAGTATGACTTATCTCGCCCTCTTTTGAAGTCGGCAGTGAATTTATATAAGGCAGGTTGAGTTACAGAATTCGGGTGGTTACACTTGCTCATTAAATCTTTTATGAGGAATTTCAGCCACGTGGGAGAAACTTTCAAGAAATCCTGGAGCTGGTTCTCTAGTGAAAGACCGAAAAAGGAAGGCTCCACATTCTTTGGAAAGGATCACGCTGTTTTCCTTAAAGCTTTAAAGCTGTGATTAAATATATTTATCCAAACGGATCTAAGTGATATGAATGAATGTGAAAATTTAATACCCAGAGAATGGGTCTGGAGAATTACACAAGCATCAGAGCGGTTACCGCGGGGATGCGGAGCGGGAAAGAGGCAGGCAGACACTCATACTCGAAGTATTTCCGATTTTTTAATGATACTGATGCATTATTTGTGTAAAATTTTGAAAGATGAGTATTACATTACAGCTTTTTTTTAAAGGACTCGAAACCCCTCGTACCCAGGCCCGGCTTGCAGAAACAGGAGTAAGGGCTTATGAAGCCTGCTTCATACTGGATTCCAAATCTACGAGCTGACGAGTTAGGAAACATTTAGGAACTGAAAAAGAATGCTGATTTCAGACTGTCCATTCCTATTCAAGATCTTATTTTGCAGTATCAACTGCTGTCCATCCCAGGAAACCCCCAGCGACTGGCTGTGACAGGCAAAGGGATGGGAGGGCTCACCTGGTTCTGAGTCAGAATTGCCTGCAGATGGTTCGCAGAAGGTTGATGGCATAAAAACATTGTTTTTTGATACTGTTGACAAGGAGGTGCAGGCAGGGGAGGGAACAAGAGGAAAAACAGCATGAGTAGGCGGGCAGACATGCACGGGGTCACTGCTCCCACCTGAGGGGTCATCTCCAGGCCCCACTGTTGGGGCGGGGGTCAGCACTGCGAACCTGGCCTTTAGCTACTTCCAGTAAAAGTGATACCCTGGGATTCTTTCTACAGCAAAAAAAAGTGGGTCTTCAGTGGAACCACCTCAGTCAGTCTGATGTCGAGCAGTCAACTCTGGTCTACTGTGGCTGCCTGCCTCGTCCTCATGCCGCTGTGGGCACAGCCAGGAGGGAAGGAGACGCGTCGGATATTCTGAGTCTCCCGTGGGGCTGAGCCTCAGCCCTTGTCACCAGTTGGGGCTCACAGGTTGGCTGCAAACCCCCTCCCCTCAACTGTTTAGGGCCTTACTTTACAACCTCAAGTGCTTCCTAGGGTGCGGCCCAGGCAGTAACAGCAGGACTGAAGAACTAACTGTGTGGACAGAGGCAGCAAAGAGGAATCAGAGCGCAGTGCAAAGACCATGCTGTCAAGTGCGGCCCTGCTCATCTCTCCGCTCCCTGATGCCTGAGAGCCCAGTGTCCCCTACACGGTGACACATGAGAGGACCGGAAGAATGCCTGGCAGTCCTTTGCCCCTTCAGCCTATGGCCACAGCACAAATCACCTCCTCTCCTCTCTGCCACACCTTCTTGGTGCAGGAAATGTGGTTCCGCAGGGGACAGTGAATGGAGGGAATACAGTCAGTGGCCGGAAAGTGTAAGGCCTTCCATAGTAAGGCCCATGCAACAAGTGTGCAGAGACACTTAAGAAAAGGATGTCAGCTGCGGCCTGGACTGCAAGTCGTCTGCAGGGCCCCTCAGGCCACAGCCTGCCCAGCAAATGACAGTGCCTCTCTTCAGGGGGTTGTGAAAGAGGATGTGGCAATGCCCCAAATAAGTAGTCAGGGAAACAGGTATGAAATCAAACGCGTCACAGGGACGATCTGAAAAAGACACTTTCTACACTGTACATCCCTGTGACGTGCGTATCACTCTTGTAAGCAGAAACAAAGCTTCCAGGAGTGTCTTTCTCCCTTAAAGGGATATCCTTAAGGCTTACAGCTGTAAATGTTTTACATGAATTCCCAAGAATGAACTTTAAGCTGGGTAACTGGAGAGCATCTAAGTCAGTACTGTGGAGCTCATGGGACTTTGGCAGAGGGGACCGAGCCGGGGTAGGGAGCAGAGGGGGCAGGCCCTACCACAGCTTTCACCCTTGAACGTGCAGAAGCGTGCCCAGGCTTGCAGAGCCTCCCAGTAAGCAGCCCCAGCATCTCCCTCTACCCTGGGAACCTGCCTCTTTCCGCACCAGCCTTTGTACAAGCCCCCAGGCTGGTCTGCGGGGCTGTGTGTGAGCAGAACTTGTCTCCATCTGGTGCTTCCATGCCCTGGGGCCCGGCCACCTCCATAGGGACAGGGTCCCAGCCTGGGCTTCTCAACTGGACCGCTGAGGTCTAGGCTCGTGGCTGAAGGGTCAGGAGAACACCCTACTGCCCACACCTCAGTCTCCAGACACAGCCAGCCAGCAGCCTTGCAAGGCAGACACGCACCGAATGGTCAGAGCCCTGATGGTCCTTTTCAGAGGGAGGTTAGTCCACTAGGCCCCACCCCTGCACAGTGTCACGGTCCCGCGTGCGGGCTGGGGAGACCTGGGCTAGGCTCAGGCGGCTCTAACCTCGCTCCCAACAGAGACAGAGTCTCAGGCTGATTCTAACTGGATGAGCACAGGAGACGGACGACGGGTCTGAGACACTGGAGGGGAACAGCAGGCCCACAAACACGGACGCTGTTACTGTCCAGTGAGGGTCTGCAACTGTTACCTGACTGTGAAGGTGGGAACTGGGTTAAAGAGGACGTCCTTTCTCGCTTGACAGGAGGGCAGTAATTTCCATCTTCTCGGTCAGAATCTACAAAATACGAGGAGGGGGAGAAAAATGAGGCTGCTTCCACTTTTACAACCAAAGATGGTAAAACATGTGAGAGATTTCCTCACCTTCTCCACCTTCGGGGCTGGAGCCTCCGGCTGACCTCTGAAATGAGAACACACGTCAGGGCAGTCAGAGGGCCGGCCGCCTAGGGCCCAGCAGCTCCTGAGTCCCGCCACGGATGGGTCCAGAAACGGGGTGCTGAGGGCGCACGGCATGAGCTCAGCTACTCGAGTCACAGACGGACTTTCAACCTAACACTCAAAAGACTCCCCCCGGGAACCTTCAGCGTCTGCCTTACCAGGCCTTGTGCCAAGGCATCCTCTTAATGGCTGGGAAGACACTCACAGCACCGGATCAGTTTCCTCGTTTCTCCACCAGGTACAGCTAAGTGGCGTGCCACCCCCGAATTCAAACAGGGAAACTAGATTGGATGTGGCCAGAGTTCCTTTTGCCCAGAGCTGGAAAGCGACCCTCTCTCCACTCTGGGGGGCAGCGAGACACTAGCTGTGGTGGTTTCACTCCCTGCCACGGCACACCCTGCAGTGTGGAACCCTATTTCAAGGTGGCCTACTGTTTCCAGAGCAACCAAGAGCTTTAGGCCTTGGACCAAAGCGTTCAGAACAGAACCACAGGTACAACTCAGACTACAGACCCGCTGAGCAGTCACAAGCTAAGAAAGCTGGCTAAAGAATTTCCTCCTTAACCTTTGGTTTTAGAATGTGAGCAACCAGCAATTGAGAAGACTTAAAATGAGCACCCTCCCACCCCACCCCAGGATAATACACAATCCCTCTGGGACTTACAATTCCTCAGAACTGAGCAGCCAAAAGCAGACTTTGAAGGGTGGACATCATTCCACCGGGAGTACCGGTTTCAGAGCAAGCAGGGAAGCCAATTTTCTTATTTTCAGAAAAGCCCCTCAAGGCTCAAGTTTAGCCAAATGAGGACCACCTGCCTCGAGCAGCTGTTTGGGGTTAACTGAGATGACGCCTGTGAAAGTGCTCCGCCTGCTGCAGGCAGCACGGGGGAGCAGTGACCGCTGTCAGAGAGGGAAGTGCGGACGAGCAGCCGGGGGCGGCACATGGTCCCCGGAAAAGGCTGAAAAGTATTTCCAGCTCCACAGGCCACATTTGGGCCACGTGTTGTAGATTCTTTATTTTTGTTTTTCCAGTCCTTTAAAAATGTAAACACCACCTTAGCTCTCAGGCTGGAGGACAAGAGGCCTCGGGCCAGATGCGGCAGGCCCGTCCTCAGGATGGTGAGCCCGCAGGGTAAGAAAGGCACCCAACTGGTCTCCGCCCTCCCCGCCAGGGACCGCCCATCAGAGGCTGGGAAACACACCCTCAGGGCCCAAAACAAAGTAAAGCACCCGAGGAATCAAGCAGGCTGGCCCCTGACAGGCACAAAGGGGCAGCCAGAGCTCGAGAGCCGAGGTGAAGGCCTGTGGAGCCTAGTCAGCATCTCCCTGCTCGGCCACTTCCTAAAGATGAACCCGGGCAAACTGTCACTGGGCCGGGCTTCCCCTTCCTTCCATGGAAAACGGAGGTGCTGGCGCTTCCTCCGCAGGGGGTGCCGCGGGGCAGGTGGAGCAGGGCTGCAGCTCAGGGTGGGTGTGAGGAAGAGTCAGGTGAAGGACCGGGACAGGGACTCTCGGAGGGGTGAGGAAGAGGGTCCAGCTCTCTGGGGGCTGAGCCGCACCCCTGCAGCACCATCCTGCTGGCCACACTCACATCCTGGAGCCTCATCCCCAAAACATCAAGGCCTCCTGTCCAGAACTTCCCCACCTCAGGTGACACCCTCAAGGTGAAGCTCCAGGTACCTCCCCCTCCTCCACAGCGGCCCAGCCATCCCCAGCCCGCTCCCGCCCACGCCAACAAGCATTTCGACTCTACCAAACCAGCCCGTGGCAGCCTCAAGGGGCCTGTGGGATACGCAGCTTCCTGCATGGCCGAGAGGGGGACAGGCGCAGAAGAGGACTGTGGTCTGGGCCTCAGGGGTCACGGGCCTGGAGAACCAGGAAAAATGTCTCCAAATTAAAACAGAAATGCCGAAGCCCCGTCTGATCCCCTGGAGACGGACACTCTCTCTGGCCTCTGCAGACACTGCTCCCTCTCGCGCTGACACACTCCTGTCTCCACTCTCTCTTCCCTGACCCCCCAGATGAGAACAAACCCTTCGGGCTGGTGGCCTCACGGCTCCCTGAGCTTCTCCGTGGTCCTTATCCCAGTCATGTGGTCTGTGTCAGGGTCCCCCAGGGGCCTCTAAGTTTCAAAAGTGTCCTGGCCTCCAGGACACCACGGGGGCTCGCATGGCTTGGGTTTAGTGAAAGCACGTGGACCCCACGCACTCCGCCGGCCTAGGAGAAGCAGCCAGGGCACGCATCCCCCAAGCTATACACAGAGCAATGGACCTGAGAGCTGTGAGGCCTGAGGCTGGCTGCCCACCACCTCGCTCTCCAGAGGCCTCCTCGCTGGCTCCCTAGGTTCATTTCCACACGTGTGACGATCCCAGGGTTTTTCCTGCTACCGGAACTAAATGTATCATGTCCTGTTTTGTGGCTGAGCAAGTGGCCTGTCCTGGAGCCATCCCCCATGCCCTCAGGACTGCGAGCTCTGCGGCTGTCAGGTCCTCTCTGCTGCGTCCTGCTTCTGTCTGGACGTTCAGTGTCTGATCCCTGAAACTGGGGCACTGAGTCTCCAACACTGTGACCAAATCCTCTCTTGTCCATTCCTCCTCCGTGCACTCCCCTACGCTCATGGGCCACTCCGGCCAGCGGAGGCACCTCCTCTCCACCCAGCCCTCCAGCCTCTCTCGGGCCTCTACCCTGCTTGTGTGTCACAAAACTGGACGCTATCTACTGTGTCTGTCTGCTGCCGCCGTGAGGCCCTGCCCTGTCTGTTCCGCTCGCAGCCCATACACCCAACACTCAGGACACCACACGAAAGACGCTTGGCAAGTTACCTACTGCAGAAACGGAGCCGTGTCCTCTGCCACAGCCCTTTGGTCACCTGGAGAGGAAAGGGCACCGGCCAGAGGAGATCAGATGCTCCTAGACCCCCCAACCCCAGGAGACCCTTAAACCCACACCCTGAGTCTACTCAAGAACCAGCCCACAGGCCTGTGGCAGATCTCCTGGTCGTGGAAAGGCTGGGAGGCCAAGGCCTGGGAAGGACAACACAGGAAAAGTTCCCTACTGGGAGGACCTTCCAGAAGCTGCTGGAACCCCCTGTGGGGTCTGAAACAGCCGATTCAGAAGCAGTGAGCAAAGTGACACCAGCAAGTCTGCTCAACAGGAACTAGTGTAAGAGAGCAGAGAGGCAGAACGCAAGGCCAGGTCATGTCCGCTTGCCTTTGGAGAAGCCGGCCCGACAGCTGACATCCTCCACAGCTGTGCCTGCGCCTGCCCTGGCCGGGGAAAGCCAGAGCTTGACGCCCGGGCCTGGCTGCTTCCCGCTGCCTTCCCCCAAAGCAGGAAGGGGCCTGGTGTGGCTGCCGTGGCCCCACACAAGGCCAATGCCAGCTCTGCCCGCAGACACAGCAGCCTGGTGGACAGGGCCTCTTCCACGTCACACTCATCTGGGGGCCACCCCTTGCCCAACCAAGGGAGCTGTTCTCCAGGGGTCAGTCTGGAACATGTCTGGACACACATGGGGTCAGGCTCTGCCTGTCCAGCTCCTTGGACCCTAGAAGCCTGCAGCCCAAAGCCCAGGGGCCACACTACAGGGACCCCATAAAGAGGCTCTGAAGAGCAGGCTTTCTGGATCTGCACGTCTGGGAGGAGCGAGGACACAAGTAGGGTGTGGAAGGCCCATCTCCTCCGTGTCTTCCCACCCCAGAAGCCACCTCTGCGAGGATTAGGGCTTCAGGAAGTCACCTGGGGGACGCTGGGCCCAGCACCCATTCGGGACACTTTGATGAAAATATCCTTGGTTAACACTCACATGAGGAGACAGAAGAGAAAAAGACCAAAGACAACCCTTGAATGTATTTTTCTGGTGTCAGGACAGCACGAACAAATCAGCACGCCCGGACTGCGTGCTGGGGGCGCGTTAAGGTTGGGGGCGGGCGGGGCAGGCAGTGTGCGCTCTTCTCCCCTCAGAAGCCACTGGAACCTCGGGAGGAGCAGCCCACTCTATGAAGTGTGCAAGTCCCTATCGTAAAGTACAAAACAGGGAGAAATGTCTAACCCAGGATGGGGCAACCATAGGCGTGAGATGCTTCTGTTCTTTGTATAAGGATGAAACAATGAAAATGACAACTGTTCAGTTTATTAAGGATTGCCACTTTCCCCCAAAACGTGGCTCTCCAGGAAACAAGGTGCCAGGCCGGTCTGGGAGGAGGGAGGGTGCTGAGACACAGACACAGACAAACGGGCAGTGAGCAGGAATGAATGGCACTGCCTCCCTGACAAGACCAGAAAACAGGGCCATGTCAGGGAGATTCCTCCCAGAAAATGCCAGGTACCATCTGGTCTGCCTGGGGCCCAGTGACCCCCACCTGGACTGCCTGGGACTCGGTGACCCCACCTGGACTGCCTGGGACCGGGTGACCCCCTCCTGGTCTGCCTGGGACCCGGTGACTCCCACCTGGACTGCCTGGGACTCAGTGACCCCACCTGGTCTGCCTGGGACCTGGTGACCCCCATCTGGTCTGCCTGGGACCCGGTGACCCCCATCTGGTCTGCCTGGGACCCGGTGACCCCCATCTGGTCTGCCTGGGACCCGGTGACCCCCATCTGGTCTGCCTGGGACCCGGTGACCCCCACTGGGCTGCCTGGGTAGAAAGCTTGTGGGCTGCGTCTGCAGGGAACGAACGCCTGAGGAGAAAAGCTACCCAAGGGAGGGGCCTGCTAAGGTGACTTTGTCTTCATGGACTACAGGCCAAGACAATGCTGTTTATTCTGTGACTGAGGGAACCAGGTCAGAAATCTGTACCAAAATGGGACACCGAATAATGGAAAATAGAGGCGGCCTCCCAAGATTCGAATGTTGGGCAGGCCGGGACGAGGGTCAAAGCCCATGCAGACGCCAGAGGGTGGGGGTAGGCTGCCCTGCAGGCACTCGTCCCAGACTTTCTAAGTTTCCTGGTGGGTCTCATAAACATGTGTTAGGCTTGACACCGCCTTGGCTCAGAGCTTCAGTCCAGCGGACTTCAGCCAGGCTCGGAGGTAAGCACTGAGAACACTCACTTTCTCTGGATCAAACAGAGAACTTAATCTGGATGTGGTTTGGTCTCCTTCAAGCTGCCTTCTGGGAGCCAGGAAGCCTGATATATAGAGACTTTTTCCTGGTACTGAGCCTTCAATGGCCAGAGTTCTGATGAGACCGAAAGATGATAAGGGCCCTTTATAAGCAACAACTTAGCAAGCCATCATTTATTACAAAGAACTCGCAGCTTTAATTCCCTGGAGGGATAGCGGAATAGAGAACAGACGAGACTTGAGGGATGAGACCCGCTGGGGAAAGTGGGCGTGTCCTGAACTCCAGTGTGGTACAGAGCCGGCTCCCAACCTGCTCTGATGCAGAAGTATCTAGCCCGAGTTAGCCACAGAAACACATCAACCCCCGAAGAAGCTGGGATCCGGGTCCATCTGCCCTGGTTAATGCCCTGACTGACCTAAAAAACAAAGATGACTTTGCCTTGAGCAGGCCCAATCAGTGGAGAAGCCAAATGACGGGAGCCACTAGCAACCAGACAAGGTTTCCTCTGAGAGTGTGAGTTGACTCAGAGCTGTCACCAGAGGATGACGATGGCGGGGCTGGACTCGACGGAACTGGGGATTCCTACAGCTACGGATGTTACAACTAACCAGCTCATGTGTGTACATCACACACACATGGCCTTGGCCCCTAGGCTCGTACTTCAGAAATTGCTCCCCAGTCCTGTATCTCTCCCACAGTGACTTAAGAACCCATCTCCAGTTCCCTGCCGTCACACTGGACCTTGCATTTGTCAGGCTGGGCACTGCTTGAATTTCTTGGAATTACAGCTACTGACTCAAAGTCCACAAGAATGGAGAAGCCGAGTTCCACAGGCCAGGCCTCAGAAATCAACGTCTGGCCTGGCCACAGGCAGAAGGTGGGCCCCCACGGTGCTTCCTGCACAGGCCTCTTTCAGGGTGGGGCCCAACTGCTCTCACCAAGTGGGCATCAGACAGAAGAGGGGCCCACGACGGCCTACGTGCCTCTCTGGAAGAGCAGCTGCATGACACAACCTCCACTTGTTTGCTGCTCTCAACAGAAAACCCCCACCCTCTTCAGTTGGAGATGCCCTGGAAGCTGTGTTTTTAAACCCGGGCAGCAGCAGAAGGCCCGGAGCCTCTCGGGCAGATCCACACGAAGATCATGGAACCGAGAACACGACTTTCTGCGCCTGTGAAGGCCAAAGGTACAATAACTCATAACACCTGATTCAGGAGAAGGTTCCAGGGGCTGCTCTGCCCTCAACCCAAAAAACAATCGCCTCTTAACCCCTGCTGTCAGCCCTCGTGTGAGGGCTGCACTCCCAACACTCTGGTGTAAGCACCTCCTGGCCCGAATCTTCACTGGGCTTCTGAAGACACTTCACTGCCCCGAACCCACTTCTATGCAACAAAGGACGGCCCCCTCCCCACCCCAAGCACACAGTAAAGACTGTTTCTTCTTTTTCCACCACAGACTGATTTCTCCAAAATATTAAAACACGACTCCAACCTCACCTTGACCGAGCATCATTCCTTCCCGCATATTCTAGGGTTTGGTGGCTCTACGTGAATTTTAGTGGTCTCCTTGAGGACACAGGAGACTGGGGATGTGACACAAGGAATCATGAAAGGCCTGGGGTAAGGCCTGGGACTGTGACACCCTGGAAGGCTGCCCAGGGTTCAGTGTGGCAGAGCGGGGTCCTCTGTTTTCTTGTAAAAGAGTAATTTGTCCCTGTTGTGAGAATGGGGGACTCTGTCACTAGGTACCGAGAGGACGAAGGTTTCGATCCTGAGTGTAGGATAATGTTTACCTTTCCCAATTTATCAAACTCCAAAAACTCAAGACACTTCTTGTTCTCGAGAGTTCCCAATCTTCTCCACCTATAATCTTCAAAAGCCTTCTTAAGACAAAGATAAAGGGTTCAAGGGATTCCCTCTGGATTCAAAGGAAGTCTTTTCTTCTTCCTGCTTTGATTGAAGACAAGCAGTTCACAGCCTAACCACAGTCCAAACACAAATGGTCTTGCAAAGCAATCTGTGCCAGACACCTCCCCTTCCTACAGATCAAGGAAGCTGGAGCTATTTGTACTTCTAAGACACTGAACTTGAATGCCCAAATTCAGGGAGAGGAGAAAGAAAAACGGAAGGAGGGAGAAGGGGCAGAATTTGACCTGGACACCTCTAACCTGCTACTCAATTCCTCTTTTGACCCCTCATATCTCTTTCAGGAAACAGGATTAGCATCTTGCTATGGGTATGTATTCCCACAACGAGAAAAGTCTCAATGTGAAAGGGGACTTGCTCTTTCCCGACTTTCTAGCAGCAGGAATTAAGGGAGCTGAAGAGATCCATGTCGTCTTCTCAGTTATCATCAGCTGCTTACGATCTGGGGTCTGGATCTGAGGGACGCGAAGGGAAAGGCGCTGGTCTGGGTTGGGAGCCCCGGGCCGTGGGATGCCGGGAGGAGGCGGACTTACCCCTGCCAGTTCTCGTGGAAAAGGAAGCAGCTGGGCTTCAGGAGTGCTGGCGGAGGCGCTAGCGGGGGCAGGAAGCTCTAGGGCATGCTCACCAGCTGACTCGGGGTGACCCGTGCCATGGTGGGGGGCCTCAGCCTCCCCCCGAGGCTCCTCTCCCGAATCCGACAAGTCTTTTTGCTCTGCAGAGGACTGGGAGCAAAAAAGACAATTTTCCTTCAATGTAAGTACAGCCTGCAACGTGGGGCGGGGGAGGGGGCAGGGATCAAAGGTCTGGAGACGCTCAACTGTCAGCAGCTCCTGTCGGGGAAGACAGGCCAAGAAAGCCTGCATGTGCCATAGACTTGTGTGCAACCAAAGCAGCCCCCTGGACGGACTGACGGGGAATGGACGTGGACCTGCTGCTGTTGGACTCTGCATGGAGCTCTGAGGTGTGCAAGAAGTCTGGACCCTCGTTTTCAAAACTGGAAGGTGGCCTCTGGGGCATGGAGATACTCTGCTGATGGGCAGTGAGTGAGGAAAAACACTCCTGGTGATCAAATTGGGGGCGGTGCCTCTATCAAAGGGGGGACAGGCGCCATTATGTCAAACTGTTCCCTGGGGTCAATCACCCATCTCCTCAAAAACACGCAGGAGGGGAGGTGGTCTGCCCACTGGGACGCCATGCGGCTACAGAGCGGAGCACCTAGGGCCAAGGGCTTGTGCATCTCGCTACAGTTCCTCCAGCACCCTTCCACTTTGTTCTGCTTAAACCCGAGATGAAGGAAACACTTTCTGGCTTCAGTGAGTGCAGATGTGGGGAGACCAAACGAGCTAGCAGAAATTCAGCTAAAGGAGGGAGCCCCTTGGCCTAGGATTCTCCCAGGCCCACTCCAAACATCTTGGGTAAGGGCTTATTTAGATAAGAGCTAGGGCGAGAGAAAGCTGGTCCCGGAAGTCTTCGTCCTTGAAAGGACAGCACCCCTGGCATCCTTCTTGGATTCTGGAGGGACTTCTATGGGCGGAGGGCTCTGTGGCCAGGGCTCTTCTTAAGAAGTGGGTTATGAAGCTGGTGTCCTGGAACAAACAGGTGGGCTCCGGTCCCCAGACCTCCCACTTGGCATCGTCCAAAGCCTGTTTCTATCACTTTGTGAACCAATGACCACAGGGCCACCCTGTCTCCCTGCAGATGTGGCTGTGTTCCTCCTGACTGTGAAGTGACTGAAACGTCGTTAGATAGGGCTTGGGGACTATTTTAAAATGTGTGAGCCTGTTGGATAAAAGGAACTATATAAAGAGGATTTATGAGAACTTTCATTCTTGGAAAAGGAAAAGTAACACAACGTTAGCTCATCCATACATCTTAAAGTCACCCATATCGACACGCCCTACGCAGGGGAGACCTGCGGACACAAAGAACTCCTCCCTAAGCTGGTCCTCAAGCCTGCCCCAGGGCACCGAGGCGGCCCACGCACCCGTCTGCTGCTGCCTTACGGCTAGAGATTTAACACCTGACGAGAGAAAAGTTAGACCCAGAGCTCTGTGGGAAACTGCCAACCTCTAATCAGAACCACTTGGGATTTTTTTTTAAATCCCTGCTTTTAGAACATAAATGTTCCTATGCCCTGTGCACAGCAGACTTGTAACGAAGCCTACGTCAGAGGACCGAAGAGAAACGCATGTGCTGCTCTAGCACCCCACTGGGTCTGAGCATCTCGGCAAAGCAATGGGCCCTAGAGAACCAAGACGGAGCCTGCAGTTTTTCAGCACGTGTGTCACAGTCAGACACCAGGATTTTGGCACCCTTTGACATCATCCTGAAAGGTATGTGGCTGATAAAAAACACGCACAGAGGAGATGCCCGTTACAGCAGCAGTGCGCTTCCGGCGCTCCCAGCGACTGCTGCTGGGGCGCTGCCTGCCTCGTGACTACAGGGCGTGACCCTGCCGGGCGGCCTCGAAGCCATCCACCCTCAGAGAAACAAATGTCTGGAAGCCAAAGGAAAGGAAAGAAACGTTTAGTCATCACAAACACTGAAACAACCTCCAGAAGGAGATTCAAATTCTCTTCATGTTGAACAGGAAAAAAACTGTCTCCATTCAAGGCAGTTAAGAAAAGAAGGTTTCACTTTTGGCCCTCGAACACAAATGCAGGGAAGCTCAAGCATTCTGCGGACAGTGCCATCTTGAGGCGGCAGGGGAACCCGGGTGGATGTGGAGACAGTGCCCGTGCTGTCAGGCTGGCTCTGGGTTTGGGATTCGGGCATTAGGACTTGAGCTCCAGCTGCTGACTGCTCTCTCCAACAGGGAACAGGAGGGGGATGTGACACCTCGTCCTGAGACTAAGTGATGCCACGGCAGGCCACCGCCACCAAGCTGCGGTTTGCTGCCAGCGCAACTCGAACCGTCTGTGGGACTGACAAAAACTCCTGTGCGGCCACACTGCCCAACCAAACCCCAGATGCCTGGGCTGGCGGCCTGATTTTTTCTTTTCCACTTCAAATCTTTTCTCTCAATCACAAATCGGTAATAACAGCCGGGCCTGTGGAGTGTGCATCTTCGGAGGGGACGTGGGCTCTTTGAGTGCATCTCACTGGGCGGCTGAGAGGCCATTTACTGAAAGACGTTAATGGTCCCGCAGTTGACACTGGGACTTCTGGATCTTTGTGGATCATGAGTGGCTCAAAAAATAGCCGTATGGGAGATTCTGGTGACAATTAGGATAATTTCAACGTGGACTGTGTGTTGGAGGGTATTTCTGAGTTCAGGATCATTTCCTCAGGATTGACAATGGCACTAGGGCCATGGAGAGGAATGGCCCTACTCCTGGGAGATGCCTGCAGAAGTACTTGGGGGAGAACCGTCAGGTGGGCACACCTTACGGTCGGGCGTTCATGATAAAAACGCTAACCCTGAAGCCAAGTGAAGGACACCCAAGTGTCCGTGGAACCGTAATTTTAATTTCCCAAGGACCTGAAAAAAATTCCAAAATAAAAAGTTGGACAAGGAAGAAAAGCTCACTCAGAAAAAGACAACAGCAACCTGAACAGATCCTCCCAACTCCTGCCTCCGTGGTGCGAGAAGGGAGGGCTGAAATCGCGCAGGCGAGAGGAAGAAAAAGCGAGGGTCTCAGGTTCGCATTTTTGTCAGAAGCGTGGTGGCCGCTCCCTGCAGGTGTGCCTTCCCGTCGCCTCCCCCAGCTCGGGAGACACGAGGCATGGGGCTCGAGTCTGAGCTGCAGAGAGAGGAGTGGGGCTCCGGTCCACGCGGCCACCCCCAGCCGATGGCTCAGACTCCTCTGGCTCCCGACCTTAAACACAGAGGTTTTCGGCGTCCTTCCGGTGACCATGTCACACGAGCATGACAGGAGCGGAGGGCTGAGTGTGAGGACCCGGAGGCCAGTTATTTTTAGAAGCCCATCTAGAGCTGGCGCCGAGTCAACAGTTTGATTTGCACGTTGTGACGATGACCAGCGCCCTCCTCCCTCCGGGCCAGCCTCGCCCAGTGTACGCAATTTGCACTCACCTCCTGAAGGTGAAATACCTAAGTCAGCGCTGGATCACAAAGCAACAGAACCACCTCAATGGAGAAAACAGTACTGAAATGACAGTTAGCAACTTAAAAAGGTTTTAAATTCAGCCAAACGTCACATTTTAGTGTTTCACCCTGTTGGCTGTCCGAAAGTCTTCAGGTTTTAAGAATTATTCATTCCTATCACTTGTTTCAAATATGAGTCGACTAACCTTTTCTGTAAAGGGCCAGATACGAAATACTTTCGACTTTGCAGGCTACACGGTTGGTCCAAACCACTTTGCCTGCTGTGTCCAGTGTGACAGCAGCCTCAGCTCATGGGCAGGGGTGGGTGCGGCTGTGCGCCAAAAAACTTCATGTACAAAAACAGGCAGTGGTGGCAGGCCTCAGTCTGCTGACTGACTCCTGTTTTAAACTACAAGTGGTTCAAAAGATAATCATCATAACATTCAAAATTCGAGTAAATCCTGATTTTACAGAAAATGTCAGAGAAGTGACTTTTGTATGTGAAGCAGAAACCAAACACATCCATTTCTAAAACCCAGAAGAAACGCAGCAGCCCCTTCACAGAGACTGAACTTCAAGAGGACAAACGACAAAACCACACGCCGTCACGCTGCACGTGCTGGTCAGGGCCCGGGGCAGAGGAGACAGCAGGGGCTGGTGTATCTTGAAAACAGCACCTGGAAAACTGCAGCAAAATGGGAAGAACACTTCCTTGGGTTTTGTGATGCCTTCTTTAGTAAAAGAATCAACAACGGCACAGACAGATGTGAAAACGAGCCTAGCAGATAAGCCCAGCTAACACCAAAGGTAACTTGCGCAGGGGCACGGGTGGGGCTTTAGGGCAGCTGCGTCCCCCACCCTGCCCCGCACGGACACACACACACGCCCTTCCTGGCACAGCACCTGAACACAGCCCGGGAAAGCAGGGCCGCTCAGAAGAGAAGTCTGGCCTCTCAGACCGACAGACAGGGTTTACAAGCAGTAGCTGGGTGGCCAAGAGTCCCAAATCACCAGGCCAGCGGCCCCAGACTCAGAGCCAGCCACCCTGCCAGGGGACTGGAGATGGACTGGAGCATCTCGTCCGTGGGTCACAAGCCCCGAGCCGACAAGATCCTCAAATGCTGTCCTCGCTAAGATACAGACGGGTTTCAGGACACCCCGCGTCAGCGCAGTCCTCTAGTCACCCTCAAGTCTTGCTAGGGGGATGAAATGACACCTGCTGTCCTTGGGCATGAGGGGAGGGACCTCCCATGTTTTGGACAGATGGGGTAGTCCTCCTATAAGCTTGGGAGGCATCACCACAGAACATCAACCACTCTGGACACAACCCTGAGCTTCCACACTGCTTGTCAGGGAGGGACAGAACCCCAAGGACTGCACGAAGCTGGAAGGCACTGCCGCGCCCACCAGGCCCCCGACAGGCTGCTGGCTCATCACTGAGACCGAGGAAAGGTTATTTTCAACACGGGCACAATCCAGACGGTTAGAACCCAAGAGGGGGAAGCAACCATCAAAGACGGGTGCTGAGTATATAAAGCAAGCCGACTAGTGATTATTCTAAATGCGTTTACGCCAAGTTGGTTGGGGCCAAAAAAAAATTCCCCCCAAATCTTTAAAGATCTTACATTCCCCCTTCACCTCCACACTCTCTCCTCTCCTTTCTTTCCGTCTTCCCTCCCTCCCTGCCCTCTTTTCCTCCCTCCTATCTCTCCTCTCCTGCTGGTTTACCTGAAGTATTTCTAGAACAAATCATCAGGAATGAGAAAGACACTTTCTACCACTGTTTTTTCAAGCAGGGTTTCTCAGCCTAGTCCACACACACCCCGTCTCAACCTCCTGCTATGGGCACCTGAAGGCTCTGGGCCTTTCCCCTCCAAGCTCAGTGTGCAGGCTGAGAAGGCAGAGGCATCCTCGGCCGTGCGACCTGGGGAGAGAGGGCTCTGGGGGAGAACAAGTCAGAGTAACCCCGTGAAGAGAGAACATAGCGCCCCTTACCTTTTGTCCTTTATCCTTCTGAAACACAAAGACAGGCGGAGCAATGGCAGGCTTTTCTGCAAAAAGAAAAATTGGTGTTTTTCCCCCCAACACTATATTCGTATAGTAAACACAGCTACATTTGTTTGTAGTAAGTTAAAAGTAAAAAACAAACCCAATATAAAACCTGTAACTCAAACGAACATCAGATCGCTTAGAAAACAGTCTCTTGACATGGATGCGTGTAAGTGTGCGGCTTGTGAAAGTTCGACGCGATGGGAGGAAACGTGCACTTTTCCGTGTGTGTATGTACATGTACAGATAAGAAGGCTTCAAGACTCACTCAGGACAGGCCGCAGCACTGACGGAGGGAGCGCGGCAAGCTGCAGGGTGCCCAGGCGGCCGCTGCTCAGTGCTGCCAACTGTGGCACTGCAGGAACCAGGCACAGACGACACGTCTTTACATGGCAGCTCCCCAATTTCAAATGCTGGAGACTGGTTTAGGTTTTTAATTTTTACGTTTTCCAAATCTGCAGGTCAGCTGGGGCAAGGGGGCAGCCAGTCTGCAACCTCTGCCCACATGGTACCTGCTCCTTGGAGAGCTTACTCCCCTCAAGTCAGCCCAGCATCCCACCTGGATCTCCAAGCCAGCGTCCATTTAAAAAGAAATGTATGGAGCTGTGCAAAGTCTGAGAGCCCATCTTGCACAGCTGCTGCTGAAAGAAGAAACGCTGTGGGAGGCTGTCACATGGCTGGACCAGGGGATGTGCCCATCCTTCACAGGCAGCACCGTCTGTCTCTCGTCCAGGGGGAGCTGAATCCACAGCCCTTTGCCGCTGGCCCCTGAGTGGGCGGCAGCTCCAAAGTCAGCTGCCACCCAGGGAGTTCTGGATGAGGACCACCTTACCTCGCGGGGAGGCTCGGGTGCCGCCTGCCTCACTGCCTTGGGCCTGGGTGCATGAGCCCTGCAGGGTGCACCTGGGGCCTCCCTCAGCAGCAGAGCCTGGTGGGCAGAAGGTGGATAGGAAGCCAGGGAGTCCTGAATCTGGGGGGCACCTGCACAGCCCTGCCCTTCCCTCAGTCGGGGAAGCTGAGGTCCAGCAGGAACCTACACTCAAACAGCTTTAACAGAGCAGGACTGCCACCCGGAAGGGGACACGGTTCGCCGGCCATGAGAACACTCAGGTGGGGATGCGGTCAGAATGTCTGGTCTAGAGCATCATGGAGACACCCGAGAAGAGGTGACTGTGCTGAAGTCTCAAGGGGAAGAGCCTGGAAGGGAGAGGGGCAGGCTCGCACAGTGATGGGGTCTGAGGGGCGGAGGATGGCAATGCTAAGGATCTGGGACAGTTGTAAAAGGAGAGGGGGAAGCACAGAGAACAGTCTGGGGAAAGGGGCAACGTGGGGAGTTCAGTCAGGAGGCAATAAAGAATAAAGAAGATGGGCAGGGATGAAGCTTGAGAAGTAGAAGGGCAAGACCGAGATGGTCAAACGGACCCCATCCCACTCCCCAGCCTGCAGAACCCCCACTCCATGGGGGGAGTGTACGACAGACGCCTGTCTTGACTCTGTGGCCACAACCCACTGACGGTGACCATTCCCTCCACTGTGCTCCCTGGGTCTGGTTCACCATGACAGTCCTCACACGCAGCGCCCACGGCGAACACTGGGGTGAGTGATATCTGAGACTGAAGTGCTACATGGGAGGAGGGTCTCCTGTGCTTCCCCAAACAGCCACCCCCAGCACAGACGTGCAGCCACTGCTCCACAACCCCGTAGGAGGGGGTGAATGGGTCAAGTGCTGCAGGGACCCTGGGGACAGCAGCGGCTTATACACACCATGGCTACCATGGGGCATCCCAGACACCCGGCCCTGCCCTTCACCCCACACGCCCAACACCCAAGGCAGGCGGTCCAGGCGGTCCAGGCGGTTGCAAGGCACGGAGGTGCACAGGAGCTGGCATATGGCCAGCCCAGCATCCCCCCAGCTCCCCATTCTTTTTAGGGAACCAGCCCTCCCCCAACTCTGTGATTTAGATGGACCCCAACCCCAGGGCCTGGAGAGATACATGAGTAAGGCCAGGCTGCTGGCTGAGGTTTGGGTCCAGGACTTTCTCTGGAGCCACTGGGGAATGGGTGCTCTGTCCCTCTCTGCTGGGGGTGCTGAGCTGGTGGAGGATATGCCTGGGGCTGCCAGCAGCTGGGTGTCATCACTAGGGGCTTTGGAAGCAGAGCTGGGGATGGAGGAGGAAATCGGAGACTCTGCTGGAGGCAGTGGGTAGAGCAGTTAACCCCACCCTCACCCGGACTTTTCAGTGAGGCCAACCGATGCTGCCTTCTACCTCAGTCAGCCTGAGCCTGATGTGTGCCCCCTTCTCTAGCAGCCTCCGGCCTGAGAGGCGAGGCCTGGCTGCTGCAGATGTCACTGGACACGTGGTGCAGACAGTAGGAGACGCCCTGCCTGGCCTGGCAGTGAGGGGCAGATGCTTCCTTCTCTCACAGCAGGAGCCCACCACCTGACAGATGGCGCGCTCGAGGGGTCTGCGGTCTAGCTCCCCTACTCAGGTACCAACTCCACGGGACGGGAGACTCTCCCGGGGTCCCCCTGTGTCCCATGGTATCTGGCACCCTGCAGGGATTCCACAAGCATTTGATGGGGGGGTGGGTAAGGGAGGGGGCACTGGAGAAAGCGACTGCCAGGCTATCAGGAGGGACGAGAATGGAGACAGAAGCACCGGGTGCAGAGAAAGAGCCCTCACCCTCTGTGCTGAGCTGTGAGGGCTGCCTGCCGTGCACAGGTCCTGACCAGTGCCTTGCGAACGGCGTGGCAGGTCCAGGAACAGGCTGGCAGAGGTCCCACCTGCTGGCGGAACGATCCTGCACTGCAGCTGGGCGTGCAGCACAGCCAGGGCAGAGGGAAGTGATGGAGGAAACACGGGGCTACTGAGCTCTGAGAGCAGATCACCTCATTAACTCCGGGCTCCTGTCTCTCAGCTGACCCCTGCCAGCACTGCCACAGCTGAGACCTCCCTTCTGTTTCTGCCTCTCCGCTCACCCCCTTATGTGCAGCCTCTGCAGAGAAGCCAGAACCACTGGTGTGAAACTCATGCTTAAAACTGGGCAACATCCTCCCAGAGGGTCAAAGGCCCCTCAAACAGGCCAGCCCCATCGGCCAGAACTGTGGCACTGAAGAGTTCCCTGTCCCTGGCACACCCCACACTTCTGTCCTGCTTCTGGACTCCTGCCTGGCTGAGTCCCTCTGCCTAGAAGACATCTCACCTTCTCTTCCGTGGCCAACACCCACTCAGGTGCAGACCCCACCCCCTTCAGAAAGCCCCTAGTGTGAACTGTGCCCCTGAAGCACGCTCTGGCTTCTGCCCTGCTTGGGTTACACCAAGGCTACCTGTCAGGGAGGCTGAGAGACCACAGACACAGCATCCGGCACAGCTCTGCATCCCCACCCGCCACCCTGTCGCGCTGGGTAAGAACCGTCCAGTAAACATTTGAACTAAACCCCCTGTACTTCTTCACATGTGTAACACCAGCTGCTATGTAACCACATAAATATTTATCCAGCCCTTGTTCGTGCAGGGCACCACTGGAAAAAGGGGAAGAGGAAGCCGGAGGCAGAACACTTCAGGATAAAACATCTGCTTAAAGGTGGGGAGGGGGGCAGTGTTTGCCTTCTTGGCCTGGCACCGCGGAGCTGGGAGCTCCCAGGGAGAGCGGGCGATCTGTTTTCCTGCTCACTGGCAGTGTTTACCCCTGGAATGGAAGCTCTGTAAGAATGGGGCCTCCGTTGTGTTCCCTCTGCATCTTCACAGCTGAACACAGAGTCTCAACCATAAATGTGCTCAACAAGCAGTTAAAGTAAGTGAAACGTACGCCACTCAGGCTGGGGCTGGGGAGGCCCGGGCCCTGGCAGCCCACCTCGGCTGCCGTAAGGATCCCTGCTGAGAGAAGGTTTGGCAGTCATGAACTTCAGTCAGTTCTCCACCAAAAACACAAAGCATCAGAGTCACGTGAGTTTCATTTCTGCTCAGCTCCAGCAGGGCCGAGTCCATAAACTGCAAATCAGTACTGATCACAAGACGATAGCACACAGGCGCCCTGCTCCTAGCAGGACTGCCCCTGGCTCAGAGAAGCCACAGGTTGCTTTTTAACCATCCCACGTCACTGCTGCTGGTTGTCACCAAATAAGCAGCATCGTTCAGCTACTGAAACCCAAGTTTAGGGAATGATCTGGTGACGGAGGCAACGAGGCCTCTGTGACCTGCCCGAGCTCCCAGCCCCGCTGCTCTTTCATGAGGGAAGGGAAACCACCACCAGAGATGTGGTGAGAGACCCAGGCCAGCACAAAGACCTGAAGTACTGAAATGTGAATCAGATAAACGCCATTTGATCCAGACTCTGTCCACTAGGTGATTTTCTGTGCATTTTGGTTCTGTGAAATGCTCCATGATCAAATCATCAGTCTGTAAAAAGCAGCCCACCTGGAGCACTGTCTGGACACACTGGCATAGGAGGGTTAAGAAACCCTTCACCAAATGTCCCCCAAAATTATCTGACCAGGGAACCCTCCTTTTCAGGAACACTCTCAACAAGGCCTGAGGACTGTGGGAGACTGTGGCCAACACTTGTACGAAGTGGGGTGGGATTCAAACCCCCAGTCACCCCAAACAATGGCCCTGCCTCTGGGGAGCGCAGGCACTACCGTCTGGGATGCTGGGTGCTTGGGCCTCACCTGGACTTCCCGAGGTGCCCAGCGCTTGGTCTGAAGCCCTCTCCTAATCCTCCGCCACACGCCCCTCCTCAGCTCCTGTGCCCCACAAGGCACCCTGCTAGAGCCCAACTGCGATCCCAGATTCCTGCCAGGGGAAGTCCCCTGCCTCCCGGGTTCCCCAGGCAAACAGTGTGTGTGCGGGGGAGGCCGGAGGATGGACCTGGCCAGAAGCTGAAGGAGCAGCCCCCGATGACATCCAGCTCATAGCGCGGGCTCTTCCTCGGGTCCCCTGCCACCCTCCACCTGCCTGTGAGGTCTGGATGCAAACGGGGCAGCTCAGCAGTGATCCCCAAG